ACCAGCAGGGGAAAGAACAAGCATGAAATTCATTACAAGATAAATGAATTTCATTAGAACAACAATTATTTAAAAAGGAGGAGGTTAGGTTATTTTTTAATAAAAAAGACTATATCTTTTTGAATTTAAATCAATTTAGGGTAATTTATTTAAACACATATGATATTTAGTTTTAGAATAAAATTAACAGCATCTTCTACGATGATGAACAATAGATATCAATATTGATAAAGTTAGTGTTATCACCATTGAAAGGGTTAAAACATGGATTGAAACCACATGAACCGCCACCAAAGCTATTACCAAACCAAACTGATTCATTATCAGAGAATGAGACACTTCCAGATGAGCCTAACATTAATTTTGATGAGGCACCGTTAGCTGGGTTCATTGATGAAATAGATTCTATGAAAAATTAATAAAGTAAAATAAAAACTTAAAATTAATATATATATTCCTAAATTTTTAATATAGTTTTATTAATAATTACTAATAATTGACATTTATAATAGTTTGTTTTTAATTAAAATGAAAATTATATTTATTTTGTTTTTTTTATACTTTGGTAAATTTGTGAAAGATAATTCACTCAAAGAAATAACTTTTAACCACGAGATGATTTTATAAAAATTAAATAAACAAATTTTGTTAAAAAATAAAAAAAAAAGAAAAAAATATTTTATATAAAAAGATTAAAATATATTTAAATGAGCATCAAAGAATTATTAGTATGAAAAACCTGAAGATTCAAAATCCACTTTATCTTTTTATTTCTATTTAAATTTATTTAAAATACACATATTAATAATTATTAAAAATTAAAAAATTCACCTTATTTTAAATTAATAAAAATTTTCATTGTAATAATTATTTTAATCAAAATTTTAACATACAATAACATATTTTTTAATTATCAATCTCTATATTGTTTTTTTTTTATTAATTATTATAATTTATTTTTTTATTTTTTATTTTAATTATTATAAATACTTTTATAAAAATGAAAAAGTTACTTTGGTGTTTAATATATCATTCTTAAAGAATTCAATAAAAATTTTATTTAAAATATTAGATTTAATTAAAGTGTTCAATTTTAAATAAATATAAAGAAAAATGAAATACAACTTTTAACATTCTTTAATTTAAAAAAAAAAAAAAAATATTTTAAAACAGTTCTAATTTTTTATTTTTTATAAATTATATTTTTTATTTTTTATAAATTATATTTTTTTTTTAATTCATTAAAAATAATAAGCTTTCAAAATTATAATCACATAATATTTTTTTAAAGATAAATTTTTTATAACCCTTTATCATTGAAACATTCCTATATTTCCTTTCAAAAATCTTTTCTATTATAGTATCCAATAAAAAAATGTACAACTCCAATAATAATAATAATAATAATCAAGATCTATCGAGCTCAACAGAAATTCATCAAGATGAAAATCAAATATTTTCGAAAACTTCGCTTTTGTTTTTGACAAAACCATTAACCTCAAAAGAAAAAATCAGTTAATTAAAATTATTAAAAAGAATGGAGGCAAAAGCTGCTACTCATGCACAAAGGTAATTATATAACTTGTTTAATTTAAATTAAAATTTAAAAATAATACTAATTATTATTAAAGGCCACACATTTAATCACCACTAAAGAAGGCTATTTAGAGAAGACCCAAAAAGTTGAACAAGCTCTTTCTTTGGGTATCCCAATTTTGGTTAAAGAATTCGTCCATGATTGTGTATTAAAAAAAGAATTAATTCCTGTTGAAACCTTTTTAGTATCATTCTTAACATCTGTAAGTAGTAACTATAGAAATAAAAAAATTAATTATTTAAATACTAATATTTACCTTTTTTACAATTAGAATGCATCTATTTTATCCTCATCACAAGAGTTTGAGGTAAAATCAAATGATGTATATAAAAATATGCTTTCCTCCGTTAATAAAGTAAATCTTGATGATAAGACAGTAACAACAACCGAAACTACAAAAAATAGCTCGCCAATCATCTCTTTGATTGCTTTAAAAGAAATAAATGGTAATAGTGCTAATACAGCTCAATGCAATCAACAATTTTTAGAAGCCGAAAATCAAGCACTAAAAGATAAAATCAAAGAGATTGAATATGAATTTAAATGCTATAAAATTGAAAAGGAGAATTTAGAAATAGAAAAAGATTTAGAAATAAAAAAATTAAAAGAAAGTCAAAGATATAATAGTACAGTCAAAGAATCACTCTTAAGAGATCTCGAAAATAGATGTAAAGAGGTTATTGATTTAGAATTTATATTAGAAGAATATCAAGCTCGTAATGCTAAACTTACAGACCGTTTGAAAAGTTCCAATAAACCAGATGGAAATGATGAAGAGAAAAAAATAATCCAAACAAAACTCGACCAAATGACCACATTTAAAATTCAATTAGATAATGAAAATACTCAACTCAATTCTGAAATTGAAGGATTAAAAAAATTACACTCCCTCAGAGGCCATCATATTTTTGGTTTAGAAAATAATATATCAAGTAATCAAGAGAGTCAATCTAAAATACCAATTAATCATCAAAACCAAACAATACTAAATGAAGGTATTAAAAATGAGCTCGAAGGAGTTAAATCAAAAAAATCTGAAAAGTTGGGTGCTCGTATTGCAAGATTTTTTAGATGTGGTAGTAGTAATAGTGGTAGTGCTAAATTAGAATCAAACAATTCAAATAAATCCTCAACTAGTAAACTTCCATCTTCATCATCATCAAATAATTCAACATCACCATCAACATTTTATAAAAATAACAACACCTCACCATTGGTACCTCCACCACATTTACCACCATTACCAGCTTGGAGATATAAATATATCTCTATAGTTCTACCAAATTCACTCGCCAAACCATCTTCTAGAATACAGAACTTGTAAATTCAAAAATAAAAAAATTTAAAAATGAATGATTCAAATTAAAATCGATCATTCAACAGACGATTAATCAAAAAACAATTTATCATCAATTGATTCAAATACTAAAACAATAGAATGCAACTATATTTCAACTGAAAAGTTATCGAATACTCTTGCTTCTGTTGTTAAAGTAGATCAAGATGATAAGCAAACAACATTACAAATAATATTTCACCAATCATTTCATTGAATACTTCAGAAGATATTCTGGTTATAGTGCAAGTACCACAGATTAAGCAAACAACAAATTTTAATTAAAGTATAACTTAAAAGACGAGCCATTGATTTTATATTTATAATCACCAAACTCTTTAGCCATTGCCAACAAAAATACTGCCACTGGTGGAAAATAAAATTCAGAAAATACCTTTGGAAATCAATATTTAAAAGAAATAACCATCATTCCACAGTAAGATCTCCATCTAATATAAATAATAACACATCACCATTGAAAAATCCACAAGCTTCACCTCAAATCCAATCAGATTCTTTTAATGCAGATATTTCCCAGTTTTTTTTAATTTCTGGACCCACTTCAACTGTCAATTAATTTAATAGAGATTTAAAGAATAAATACTTTATTTAAAATAATTAAAAATAAATAAAAATATATATAATAATATAATTAATTAGATCTAATAATTATTTAAAAAAAAATAATTAAAAAAAAAAAAAAATAAAAAAAACAAAAACAAAAACTTTTATTTTAATTTTTTAATTTTATATAATACTTTAGTAATATTTTATTTTTTATTTATTTTAAATTATCTTTTGTGATTTGGTTCATCTATATTTATTAAATGATTTTTCAATTCAAGATAGTTATAATAAATACCTTTATAAATTATATTAATTTAAAAATTAAAAAAAATATAGCCCTGAACATATGTTATAGAAATATTTAAAAAAATAAAATATTAATAACTCAAGAGTTTTTTATATTTTAAAATTTAAATATATTTTTAATGTATAATCTTTATTTAAATATATAGATAATTAATTATAAACTATAGATGATTATTTTAAAATTCTATATAAAATAAAAAAATGAACTAAGTGTTGATAATAGTTAAATTATTTGAACTATTTATACATTTTAATTGAAATTCAACTGATAGGATGCCAATTTAATAATTATAAATGACTGTTATGATTTTTAGAATATGAAAACTTATTATAATAGCTTATAAAATTGATTGTGGTTGTTTGATTGTTTTTCCTGATTGATTAATTATTGAGAGATTGAGTGTTTGGTATTTGAAAACTAATAAAGAAAGCGTCAGTGCTTTATATCTGTTACTAATCTAAAACTATTTGAGTTCAATCATAGTTGCCTGGCCAGAGCGAATTAATGATATTCATAAAATAGTTAATTAAATTGAGTAGTTTCATTTGTGTTGAGTGGAAACATCTTTTCTTAATTGAATTCAAGTATTTATTGGTCACTTCTAATTGGTCCAGATAGTTTTACACCACTAGATGAAACATATTCTAAAAGACTTGGACCGTTAACGAATTCTACATAACTTGATACAGAGCTTACTTGAAACGCCACCAGATAAAACAATCTCTACAAAACTTGGCTAAGATAAATTACTAGATTCCTTTTATAAATATTGATTCTATACCTTCAAATATCTAGTTATATTCACATAATGTAATTTTTTGAGATTTATATTATTAGTATAATTATTACTATTTATATTATTATTATTATTATTATTATTATTTTTATTAATATTGATAATTATTATGGCCAAAGGAAAAATTATATGATTGTCATTAAAAAAAAAAAATTAAAAATTAAAAAAAAAAATAAATAAATACAATGAGGTTGAGGCTCATACTTTTATTATTATAATATATGAATATACATATGACTCTTTAAAAAGATATATAAAAAAGGATATATTTTAATTTTTATTTGAAAAAAAAAAAAAATTTTAAAAAACCTCATTATTTTTTAATTAAAAAATTTATTAACCTCCATTGTTTAAAATCGTTATTTTAAGTTAAAATTAACATAGAGATTCAAACACAATGAATAAAAATGGGAATATTTATTCAATTAAAAAAGGTAAAGACGAATTTTGTGTTCTGTTTTTTTAATTAATTTTAATTATTTTATAATTTTTTTAATTTTTTTTTTTTCTTTAAATTATAAAAACTTTTATTTTTTTTTTTTTCTTTTTTTTTTTTTTTCTTTACAAATAAATAACTTTACATTTTTATACATATATTTTTTCTCTTCATAATTTTCAAAAATAATAGCAATTAATAATATATAAATAATAAATAAATAAAATATTCATTTCAACATTCCACTTTGAAAAATGGATGATTTATTTATTTTCTTTTTTATCTTTTTTATTATCATTTTTTGTTTTTATAGTTTTTTATATAATAATATTGATAACAATAATAACAATGACAATAATAATAATAACATTAATAATAATTATAATAATAATAATAGTAATAATTTTAATAATAATAATAACTTTAATAATAATAATAATAATTTTAATAATAATTATATTTATAATAATAACAATAACTTTAATAATAATAATAATAATAATAATAATAATAACAATAACTTTAATAATAATAATAATAATTTTAATAATAATTATATTTATAATAATAATAATAATAATAATAATAATAGTTTTAATAATAATAATTTATATAATAATTATAATAATTATAATAATAATAACAATATTTATAGTTTTAATAATAATAATATAAATAATAATTATAATAATTTTAGTAACAATAATAATAATAATTATTATAATTATAATGACAATAACAATTTTAATATTTTTAATAATATTATATATAATAACAATGATAATTTTAATAATTATAATAACGATAGCTATAATGATGGTAGTTTAAATTTAGATAACATCTACTCCAAAACCAGAGACAACAAATGTAGAAATGGAGTAAGATATTTACCATCTCGCTTTTTTAAAGAGACCTCAATAGAACCACAAGAGAGAACAGCCCCACATCTTAATCCTTCAACCCCAGCCCCAAATAATATAAATAACAATAATAATAATATAAACAATAGTAACAAGACATTAGAGTCGGATGTATTATTATTAGAAATAATAAGAAAGGATAAAGAAAAAACTGAAAGGGAAAAATCAGTAAAAGAACTCAGAAATGAATTGAAAAAATTAGAAAGAGAAATTCAAGAAACTGAACGTTCCGAAAGATCAGCAAGAGAAAGGGAACGTTTAGAAAATTTTGAAATAGAAAGAAGAGAAAGAGAAAGAAGAGAAAGAGAAAGAATTGAAAGAGAAAGATTTGAAAGAGAAAGAATTGAAAGAGAACAAAGAGAATGGGAACGTACCCAAAATTTATTAAGAGAAAGAGAACTACAAGAAAGGGTACGTAGAGAACATCTTGGAAGAGAAAGAATGGATGTTGAACAGCCAGAAAGACAACAACCTAGAAGACAACCAAGAGAAACAGAAAGAATGCAAATAGAGCATTCACAAAGACAACCAACAGAAATCGAAACAATGTCAATAGAGCGTCCACAAAGACAACAACCAGAAAGAGAAACAATGCAAATCGAGCATCCAAATAGACAACCAGAAAGAATGCAAACACACCAACCAGAAAGACAACAACCAATAAGACAGGCAAGAGAAAGTACCCAAAATGTATCAAGACAAAGAATGGAAGTAGATCATTCAGAAAGGGTACAAAGAGAAAACTATTTAAGACAACAACTACTAAGACAAAGAGATCAACAAGCAAGAGAAAGTACCCAAAATGTATCAAGACAAAGAATGGAAGTAGATCATTCAGAAAGGGTACAAAGAGAAAATTATTTAAGAGAACAATTATTAAGACAAAGAGATCAACAATCAAGAGAAAGTACCCAAAGAAGAAATAGAAGAACATAAAGAAGGGTACCATTATTTAGAGTCCATTTAATGCTATTATAGTAAGTAATTCATACATTCATATTTATACCTAATAAATAAGCATATATATTAATTGATATTTATTATTTAACTGTAGAGAGAGATAATCACATCGATGGTTTAATGAAGTCACATTAACTGTATTACCAGATAATCTTTATGTTAATAACCATGCAGCTGCTTAAAATAGAATGATTCAGATTTGTACCACATGAATGTCGAATGCCTTTTCGATTTCGATTACAGTTTTAATTGGTAATTATTAGATTTATTGGATATGGATCAAGAATTTGCTGGCCACGAATTCAATGATCACATGGACATAGATCAATAATTTCTACCATTGGATACTGATTAATAAAGAAATTATAAAAGGCTAAAACATTACCATCGATATCAACATTTTTAAATTATTCATCGAATTATCCTCAACTCTACAAAGGCTCCAACAACTTGTTCTCTTATTGTAAGTATATTGTTAATATATACATAAATACTATTAGATTAGAATATAAAAGAAACTAATATTTTTATTCTTATATACAGTAAATGTATTAATTATAATGCTTTGTCTTACGGTTTAATTATAATGCTATGTCTTATGGTTTAATTCTGCTTTTTATTTAATATCAAAGTGGGTGTAATTGTATTCCTAAGGTAACAATAATTCATAATTTACATAATTATAAATATTTGAATATAAAAGAAACTAATATTTAATTCATTTTTAGTTTAATTCTTTCTATTTTGGATTTAAAACGCTCTTATATGGTATAATTATATTTATAATTATTTCTCTTTCAGTATATCATGCTCTATATTTAAAGTCTATATTGGTTGATTTTTAAGGTAATTATAATGTTAATATTTAATAATTATTATTATATTTGAATATAAAAAAACTAATATTTAATTTTAATACCTATTTAGGTTAATTCGAATTCTTTCTTTTCAGTCTCCGCACATCATTCCCAATTCTTTCTTTTCAGTTTCGACACATCGTTTTCAATTCTCTCTTTCAGTTTCGGCAAATCGTTTTCAATTCTCTCTTTCAGTTTCGGCAAATCGTTTTCAATTCTCTCTTTCAGTTTCGACACATCATTTTCAACTCTCTCTTTCAATTCGACAAATCATTTTCAATTCTCTCTTTCAGTCTCGGCAAATCGTTTTCAATTCTCTCTTTCAGTCTCGACAAATCATTTTCAATTCTCTCTTTCTATTTCAACACATTCAATTCTCTCTTTCTATTTCAACACTTAATTTTCAATTCTCTCTTTCAGTTTGGGCACTTCAGTTTCAATTCATTAATAATACAAAGGGGTTTGTTTATTATTTTAAATTGTGGTTTTTTCAAGTCATTAATCATTAATTGGGGTTTTTTCAAATCATATATCATACATTATTGTTTAGCTTATTATTATTGTGGTTTTTTGGAATCATTAATCAAACATTGGCATGTTTGTATTCTTCTGGTAACTATAATGTTAATATTTGCATAATTATTATATATGAATTTAAAAGTTACTAATATTTAATTAGGTTAAATCGAATTTTAATTTTTTAGTTTCGGCGTTATTTCAACTTGAAATTTTTAAGTCATTAATCATAGATTGGGGGTATAGTTTATACTTTTAAATTGTGCTTTTAAAAAAGCCAATTCATAGTCGAAGATATTTTTAAAATATAGATAAATTACCCCCACCATACAATAGTATCCAAATCACTTTTCACCAACACTCTTTTCATAAATTTTATTTTATATAAAAATGATATAATCAAACAAAATGTGTACATAAAATTTATAGTGATAGAAGATTCAATAATTAATTAATAAGAACAAGTAAGTAAATTAATATAATAATAATAATAACAAAAATAAAACTATATAGAAACAGAATCACTAATATAACCAATTGTTTTTAATATTTTAAAGGATAGGTTGATCAACTAAAATATTTTTATTAAATATTCTTTAAAAGATTTGCAGTTATTGGTTTTAGTGAACCAACATCTTAATGAATTTAATTTAGAAGTTTTAAAAACTCATTAGATCTATTTAGGGTCCAATTCATTAGAATCCAAAATTAAACGTAGTGGCATCAACCTCATATCTGCAAATAATATCGATTATCATTTTATTAATTAATATATTAATAAAATAAAATAAAATAAAATAAAATAAAATAAAATAAAATAAAATAAAATAGTTTTTTAGTTTTTTTTTAATATAATTCCTATGGTTGTTTATATCGTTTACTTGTGTCTCCACTAAAATTATTTAGATTTAACATTTATTACATATTTTAATTTTTATTATATGATGATGGACTGGTACTATTTATATTTATGGAAATGTGTATTATATTTTCTATGTTTGAATAATTTCGTTTTTAATTGGTGATGATGATTTACTTGTTTAAAGACAGAGATAATAATATTATTTTTATAGTTTGATGAAGATTAGGAATCTGAAGCTTGGGAGATGGTGAAAATAGTTTTTAATGGCCATGAAAACAACAGTGAGCTAAATAATGATGGTCCTGAAAAATGTGAGGCATTTTATTAATTATATGATAATAAGTTGGTGATATTTGGTTGTTACTGTTAGTGCTTGGTGAGGACTACCTTTGGTTTAGCACTATATTGATTTTTAACTATTAATTATTATAAAATGTTAATTCGATATTTAAATATATATAGTTGTAAGACCCCCAACAGATTGACCTATTGTATTCAATGATGTTAATCCAATTGAATCTGAAGTTGTTAGACCTGCTACTGATTGACCACTTCTAATTGTATTTGCTGTGGTTAATCCTGCTACAGAGTTTGCACCGAAAATGAAACTACTCGATGCACCAGTTGTAGCTAATTCACCTACACTTTGGCCAGTTACAATTGTATTTGAAGTTGTTGATCCTGTAATTGAATGATCAGATGCAATGAAACTAGCTGTTAATCCTGTTGTTATAATTGTTGCTATATCTGCTATTGATTTTGTAGTTGTTAATCCACCAACTGATTGACCTAATGATATCAACCCAATTGAAGTTATTACACCTGCTACTGATTAACCACCGATTGTATTTGCGGTTGTTAAACCTGCTACAGAGTTCACACCCGAAATTAAACCAAATGTATTTGAAGTTGTTAATCCTGCTACTGATTGGCCACCTCCAATTGTATATGAAGTTTTTAAACCATTTATTAACTGACCTGTTGCAATTGAGCTTGTAGTAGTTAATCCAGTTGTTTTATTTGTTGTTATGTCAGCTATTGAATTTGTTGTTGTTAATCCTGTTATTGATTATACGAAAGTTGAAGTTTTCATTACCCTTATCAAAACTATTTGGGTTCTATCACTGTTGCTTGGGCCAAGGCAAATATTGCACTTTTTGAATTTTTAAAAGAACTTGCAATTGATTTGAATTTTTCTGATTTACCCAAGATTGAAAGAATTTGAGTTTCTGAAACTTTGTGACTTTTTATGATAGTTATTGCTATTAATTTTGAGATTATTATTATTATTGAGCAATAGTTCGTAGTTGGATTGGTATTTATTATTACTTGTGAATAGTATAAAATCTCTTTTAATAGGTTCGCTGTGCATTTGATAAACATATGCTAAATCTTTATATAATTGATTAAAATCCTTTCATTCATGATATCGACGACATCAGATCTTGTAAGGGTATTGAATGGTTTTAATTGGTAAATCTGTCTTTTGAAAATTAATAAAAGTAAATTTAATTAATGTAAGTAAATGTGTTTCTATTTTCTATATTTCTTCAACAATGCCAATTTCTTTATATCAACATAATATTTCTTTATATAATATTATTATTAATATTAATTTACTTACTTCTCTCGAAAGGTTTTAAACATATTTCAGTACTGTTAAAATTATTATTGATTAGATATGCTATAGTTTACATTATTAAAATTATTTATGTGTTTGTTTGTTTGTTTGTTGTGAATTGAAAAAAATAAAATAAAAAAATTGAAAAAAAAATTTTTTTAAATTTTTTATAAAATTATTTGATTTTTAAAAAATAAATATTATTTTAAATTTAAAATGGCAATAACGTGTTGATATTGACTAAAATTGGGGTAACTATTGAATAATCATAAAAAGATCATATAATACTATACCTCAACTGAAATATTTAATAATAGGAATGTTTTGTATTTATAGCAAACTACTTTTTATATACTGTCAATATGTTTTAAAAAATTTAAAATAAAAATAAATTTTTATTTTAAAAAATTATTATGAATTTATATTAAATTATTTGGTCTCAGTACCTTACACTTTTTTATAATCAGTTTTTGTTATATCATTGCCAGCAGGACATAGTAAAATCAAATAGGGTTCAAATTATTCATCATAACTAAAGTAGCTACATCTACATTACATTAAAGTTTATAGTGTTATCACCAGGAAGATATATGGAAAGTAAACCTTTTGCGCATGCTGGGAATCGAACCCAGTTCGCATCCGTGGCAGGGATGCATCATACCACTAGACCACATGCGCACTTTAATGATATTTTTAAATCAGCTGATCAATTAGGTTTAATGAATATTTTAATTTCCCCGCAATACGTGTATTTTTGAATAAATAAAAAAAATAAAAAAAATAAAGGCAGAATTTAAGGTTAGAATTAGAAAGATTATGAAATAGAGAATTCTTTATCAAATCTTTTAATTTTTTTGTATTAAAATATTATAAATTTAAAAAAAAAAAAAAATTTTGTGAATATTTTGTTTATTTATTTATTTTATATTTAGCATCATTTGATTTTCTTTTAGTTTTTGTTTTTCTAAATCATCTAAATCAGATAATAATTTCTGTTTTTCGGGCTTTGGTAAATGATTTTGAATGTTTACAATACTAATGATTTGTTTTACAGTGTATTCTGAATCTCTTGCCATTTCGTATAACTCCTTTCTTGGTAAATAATAAGCGGTAATATAATGTTCGACGTGTTTTATATGTGGAATTGGTCTGATTGTAGTTAAAGGTTCTAAATCTGATTGCAATTTTTTTACATCCATAATCATTAAATTTCTACCAAAGTTATTGCATTTTTTGATTTTTGAATAAGACTCTATTAATGTCTCCATTGCAAATACAATTGTATTTTCCCATAATAAATTTTTGATTTTTGGTGTTATCAATGTGGTTTTTGGTGATGCTATTGCGTCTAAATTACCTGCAAATTTATGAAACTGTATAATAATTGATGATACATAATGATTTTCTGTTGTTGGTGCCTCTTTCAATTCCCACTTTGTATTTGTAATTAAATTTGGTATAGTTTCGAGCTATTGATTATAATAAATAAATAAATTAGTATCCATTGTATTAATAAAAAAAAAACCGAAATTTTAAATTACCTCTAAAAACTGTGAAGTTATATTTTTATATAATAAATTTCTTAATGATGCAACGACTGAAACAGTTTCAACATAAAAATTTGTAGTTTGTGAAGACTTTTCAGGTGGGATTAAATCTAAAACTAAAGGCTGGGCTTCCATAATACAATCTACTAAAAACATCATTGACTCCAAACCAATAATTTTATGTTCTAAACCAAAAAGATTTTTAGATTGGGTTAAATCCAAAGAATCGTTAAGTTTGGGTAGGGACCAATTAATAATAATCTCTTCTTCGCTATTAAAATTATTATTTAAACTATTTAAACCATTATTATGATTTGAACCATTATTACTATTATTACTATTACTATTAATACTATTACTACTATTCGATAATGATAAATTTGGTAAAAATATATTTTCTTTTGGTTGATTTAAATTTGGTGATTTATCACTTTTAATTGATAAATGAGGTGATGAAATTTTACTTTGAAATGTTGATGCTGATAATAATGATGTTTTTTCTTGTACTGGTGGTGGTGAGAATTTATTTTTTAATCTTTGTAGTGTTTTAATTAACATTGGATTGATATTACTATTATTATTTGCGATATCCAATATAGTGTTCTTTTCATTCATGCTACCAAAGAATGTAAATACTGAATAAACGTAATACTCTAATAACTGTGATATGGCTGTAAAAATTGGATAGGCCAATTGTTTCAAAATTTTCATCATTTGTAAATAATAACCAATTTGTTTTATAACATTGATTGTAGTTGATGAAATTAATGGGCTACTTGTAGTTGCGTTGTTATTATTAAATGTTGGTAATTCGGTTTGACTTGTACTAAGACTATTCCTGTTACCTGCTGCCTCTGATAAAGTTCTTCTACCCTCGATCAATGAGAATGGGTTACCATTGTCCTTGAAATGATTAAGGAATGGTATTTCATAATCCTGTGGACAAAGGCTTAGTTGTTGTTGCTGTTGTTTTTGTTGGTCTGTGATTGTTAAAAACCCTGATATAGCTGGTTGATTTATTTGTGGTTGAGGTGGTTTAGATGATGATGATTTTCTACTACGGCTACCACCTTCACTATCTAAATTACTCTCGTTGAAGCTATTCATAATAATACCAAATTCTTTTACATCCAATACCGTAAAATTATTTGGTAATGGGATTTTATGCCACATTTCATTTTCCAACATTGTTTTAAGTCTTTCGATGGTCTCTTTATGGAAATATTGGAAATAGTCTAAAGATTTCTCCCTCATTATACCCTTTAGTAAGTTTGCCTCTTCACCTGAAAATTGAATACCAACTTCTATGAACTGATTAATTGAATCCAATACTTTAATGAATAACTCGATTTTAAATTTAGGTTTCAATGAGTTCAATATATGTCTAACTTGATTTTGTATTGAATTCCAAATGGTCTTTTTATTTGAGCAAAATAATTTAAATATTTCAATGTAAAATTTCTTTTCTTCACAATCACTTTTAATAGCCTGTAATCTTAATAATATCCATTGCTTCATCATATAATGTGACCACATTAAATCGGATAAATGTTCTAATATACCCATTAAAGATGGTATATACTGATCTTCTTTTAATATTTGACACAATTCTACAAATTTCATACTATAATAAATAAGATAAAAAGTTAGAAATAAGATAACTATTATTATTATAATTTAATTATAATTACTGTTTTAACTCTTCTGGTTTAGAATATGAATATTGTATGTGAGATTCTAAAATTCTCTTCGAATGTTCCTCTATATTTAATATGAAATTTTGATGAATTTTTTCCTTGAATCTTATACCCTTATTTAACTTAAAATAACACTCTATTATATTCTCAAACCTCTTTGGATCAAATACATGACATACCCCAACAAATGATGAATCGATTTTACCCAACACTGTATCTTCTCTAAACTAAATAATTAAATTTAATATTAACCATTGTTAGTTATTGTTACTATTACCAATCGCTATCTATCATTATGAATTTAATACATACATCAAACTTAGATGTTAAATCTTCAATATACGAATATTTTGAATACTTTGTAATTACTTGGTTCCATTGTGTTAATAACTCCAATGCTTGTGCGAATTCATTCATATTTAAGTATGAATCAATTTTACGTGCTGTTTGAGTAATTTCATAGATACGAGACATTTCCTGTAACATATATTTTGAATATTGTCTAATTCTATGCTTTGCTAATAATTTGAAACCAAATGCTGTTAAATTTGATTGCACACCGTCTAAATATTCTTTACCTGATGAACACATTCTCGCCGAGTGTGTCAAATCTCTTTCAATCTCATAAACTTGAGACATACCTTGAACTAAAATGGTATTAGTATAAGTTTAAAGTATATGTATTTTTAATGGTGAATAATTACCAAAACCGCTATATGACTTTCTAATTAAATCATTAAATCTTGAATCCACAGCTTCGTGATAGCCACTAATCTTTACAGTTAATGCATCAATAGTTTCTATTGGGTCATTAGCACCTATACTTTCTAAAATAAATGAGCTATCAAAATTTTCATCAAAGTATACTTTATCTAAATTTTCTATAATTTCATTCTCTTTTTTAATTTCTTCTGGTGTTTTTTCTGTATATGGTCTTCTAGTATTACTTTGAATACTATTCCTTTTATTCATTAAAAGCCTTGAAACATCTGATAATGTATTTAAATTTGATGTTAATTGAAATAAATCAACTTCGCTAGTGCTAGCTCTTAAGCCACCACCATTATTATTGTTATTATTATTATTATTATTACTATTATTTAATGAAGCACTACTGTAATTTCTATTCATCGATTATAATAATAATAATATCTTAAAATACTATTTATAAAAAAAAAATATTGTAAGATAATTTATGTATTTTGATGCTTTTCATAAAAATTAAAAAAATATAAAAAAAATAAAATTAAAAAAAATAAAATAAAAAAAATAAAAAATAAAAAAATAAAAATTAAAAAAAAATAAAAAAATTATTTATTGAAAATATCTGTATTTGGTTTAAACCTATTTTATTTTTTTTTATTTTTTTTTTAATTTATATAGAGCAAAGATATATCTCGTATATTTACCTTTTTTTAAAAAAAGGAAAAAAAAAAAAAATTTCTTTTAATATGTAAATTAAGAGCTTCTACAAATATATAAAACTGCATATTAAGAAGAATATTTTAAATATATATATTTGTGGATTATATATGTAAAAAAAATATAAATAATAAAAGTATGGTGTGTTAATATGATACCAATACCAATAATAGATTATTATTATAATCGGTGGTGACTAAACAACATTCTTTTCATTTTTATTTTTTTTTATTTTATTTTTTTTTATTTTTATTTTTATTTTTATTTTTATTAAATAAAATATTTTTTTTTTTATAAATTTTTTTTTTTTAATTTTTTTTTTTATAAAATTTTTTAAAATATTTTTTCAAAAACCTTTCCTTTTTTTTTTTTTATTTTAGTTTTTTAAAGTTTTATATAACAAAAGACAACTATAAAAATGGAAGGTCCATCAAAATGCACTTGGAAACCAAATACCACCGAACCATCACCACATACCACCAGAAAGTAATTATTGAATTATTATTTTAATGTATTTTTGTGTGTTTTTTTTTTAAAAAAATTTTTTAAATTTTTTCGACGAGAACAAAAAAACGACCTCAGAAATTTCAAAAATTTCATCACACACACAATAAAATTTTATATTAATATCTTTTTTTTTTTTTATCTATCCCTACTTTTTAAACAACAACAATAATAAATAAATGATTAAATTAAAATAATAATAATAACAATAATAGGAATGTTAAACCATTAATTATGGATAATATTTTACAAAACATTGGTAATACTCCATTAGTTAGAATTAACAAAGTTTCAGAAGGTTTAGATTGTGAATTATGTAGGTTAATTTATTACAATTATATTTACACATATATAGATTGCAAGAAATTTATTTATTAATATTAACTTTTTTATAACTATAGTGGCTAAATGTGAATTTTTCAATGCTGGTGGTTCAGTCAAAGATCGTATTGGTTATCGTATGATTGTCGATGCTGAAGAAAGTGGTAGAATTAAACCAGGTGATACTTTAATTGAACCAACTTCAGGTAACACTGGTATTGGTTTAGCATTAACTGCTGCCATTAAAGGTTATAAGATGATTATTACTTTACCAGAAAAAATGTCACAAGAAAAAGTTGATGTTTTAAAAGCTTTAGGTGCTGAAATCATTCGTACACCAACTGAAGCTGCATTCGATGCACCAGAATCACACATCGGTGTTGCTAAGAAATTAAATGCCGAAATCCCAAATAGTCACATTTTAGATCAATATGCCAATCCATCAAATCCATTAGCCCATTATGATGGTACTGCTGAAGAAATTATTGAACAATGTGGTGGTAAACTCGATATGGTTGTTTGTGCTGCTGGTACTGGTGGTACAATTACAGGTATTGCAAGAAAGATTAAAGAAAGATTACCACATGTTAAAATCGTTGGTGTTGATCCACACGGTTCAATTCTTGCTCAACCAGAATCACTCAATAATCAAAACAAGAGTTACAAAATCGAAGGTATTGGTTACGATTTTATTCCAAATGTTTTAGAACGTCCAATCGTCGATGAATGGATCAAGACTGATGATAAAGAATCATTCATCATGGCCCGTCGTCTTATTAAAGAAGAAGGTCTTTTATGCGGTGGTTCATCAGGTTCCTCAATGGTTGGTGCTCTTTTAGCTGCCAAACAATTAAAGAAAGGTCAACGTTGTGTTGTTCTTTTAGCTGATTCAATTAGAAACTATATGACCAAACACTTAAATGATGATTGGTTAGTCGACAATGGTTTTGTTGATCCAAAATACATTAAAACTACCACTCAACAAGAAGAAGAAAAATATCAAGGTGCCACCGTCAAAGATCTTGAACTCCCAAAACCAATTACTATCACTGCCACCACCTCATGTGCCAACGCTGTTGAACTCCTTAAACAATATGGTTTCGATCAATTACCAGTTGTTTCTGAATCAAAGAAAGTTTTAGGTTTAGTTACTCTTGGTAATCTTCTTTCACACATCTCCTCAAAGAAAGCCAATGTTACCGATCCAGTCAGCAAGGTTATGTTCCGTTTCACCAAAAACGAAAAATATGTTCCAATTACTCCAACCACTCCACTTGCTTCACTCACCAAATTCTTTGAAAATCACAGCAGTGCTATCGTCACTGAAAATGATGAAATTGTTTCAATTGTTACTAAAATCGATTTATTATCATACTTTATGAAACATAAATAAATAATTTAATCAAAAAAAATAAGTAATAATAATAATAATAACTATAATAATACCAATTTCTATATAAGCTTTACAACCTCCAAAATCATCGTTCAAAAAAAAAATTAATAAAATTTTGTAATTAAAATTTTTTTTTTTAAAATATATGTGTTTAAGAATATTGGATAAAAATATGTATTAAAAATGGTAGATTAGATGATATTAAATTAGATTGGTTTTGAATAAATTTACATTAAAGTTTCTTTTGTTTTATTTAAAGAAAGGAGTTTTTTATTTACAATTTTTTAAACTAGAAATTTTTTGTCTATGTCAAATTATTAAAATTTTCAGGTTGTGGATGATGGTGATGATGGTGATGGTGATGGTGATGATCATCTTCAGGTTCTTCTGCCTCTTCGCAGTACTGGCCATTATTTGGTGAAGATGGTTCACTTCTACCATTATGATTGTGAAGATGATGGTGATGGTGGTGGGTTGTTGCGGTTGTGGTTTGGCCATTAAGTTGATATTGCATTTGGTGCTCGTCTGTATGAAGATGTAATTGTTGAGCTTGTAATGCTTGGTGGTGTTGTTGCTGTTGTTGTTGCTGTTGTTGCTGTTGTTGTTGTTGCAATTGTATATTTTGATTCATATTTATATAATATCTCTTTAGATTATCCTCAATTTCTGGAGTTGATAAAAATTCGGGATCGATTAGCTCCAATGTTTCTTTATTTAAATTGTTATGTGCATAGTGGAAAAAATGATTGCACAGGGTTGCCGCTCTGCCCTTGAATGTTTTAATAATAGTTTCTGGTATCTTTTTGAGTGCTTTTTTATTTTTAATTGATGTTCTGCCACTGCCTTTTAAATTCATTTCCCTTAATATTTTAGTGACCTCTTCAATGTCTTTTCTAACTTGATCAATATCTTCGAATCTAAATTTTTTTATGAGTGCTTGTCTTAGTGACTCTGGCTCTTCTTTCTCCAACATCTCCAAGCCTATTCTATAATCATCCAGTTGTGTAAATAAACGTTTAGAGTTTCCCCTCGATCTTTGCCAAAATTGTTTAACAATTGATACAGCCTCTGTTATGTCTACATTGATACCGTGTGAAATTTGATCAGCAAATAATCTTTCTTGATCCTTTTGTAAAATCCAACCATTTTCAAAAAGTGGTTCTAGAATTCTATTAATTTTATTTGAAATATTTTGTGAATAAACTCTTCTTCGCTTTTTGGGCTGCTCTTCTGCAAATGAATATTCTGGAGATCCTGGTTCGCCCTCTTCATGGTGATGTGTTGTTGATGATATTGCTGTTGTATTTACATTTGATGCTCCAATATTTGTTTCATTTGTTTGTATAGGTTGCTGAACCGATTGTTGTGTTTGTTGTAATGGTTGTGATGTTTGTAATGATTGCTGAGTTATATTGTTATTGTTGTTAATACTATTGTCTGCTGTGGTGGTTGTAGTGGTTGTAGTGGTTGTTTTATTTACATTTTGATCCAAGGGTCTATTTTCAGCGATGCCACTTTGATTACTATTTAATCTATTTGAATTAAAGAGTGAATTGTTTAAACTATTTGATCGTATGTTATTATTTACATTGGAGTGATGATGTGGATCAACCTTTCTTTTTAACTCTGGGTATCTAATATGAACTACGGAAGTTAAAAGATCCTCTAGACGCTGATTTTGGTGGAAAAGTTTTTGAAATTGCTCCCACATTGCACCCATCTTTTCATTAACAACTTCTGAGACTATATTTACAATTGATTGACCACAATCACAATCACAATTACAGCATTTCTTTATATAGGATTGCATAGGGACATGATGATGGTGGTGGTGGTGTTGAGATTCTGAGGTTGGCGAGATTTGATTAATCTCTTGATGGTGATGGTGTAAATGATCTAAATGGTGCCCATCAATTTCCATTTCATGAATATGTAAATGCTCATGAGTTTCCTGTTGATCTTGTTGATCCTGTTGATCTTGTTGATCCTGTTGATCCTGTTGATCTTGTTGATCTTGTTGTATCTGTGGCTGGTCCTGTGGTTGGTGTTGGTGGTGTTGGTGGTGTTGATGTTGATGCTGATGCTGATGATGTTGATCTTGATGTTGATCTTGTTCTGATTGTTGGGATTGTTCCTGAGTTTGTGTCTGCTGTTGATCCTGGGATGGTTGTGGTTGTTGTGGTTGCGGTTGATTTTGCAATTGTGATTGTTGAGATTGATCTATTTCCTCGTGTACCTCGTGGTGTAGTATTTCTTCATGGTGTAAATGATGCATATGGTGCTCTTCAGTGTGCTCAATATCAATAATTTCCATATGTGCTGAAATTGGTGTTCCATCTTCCTGAGCTGCCTCAATTTGGTGCTCATTTAAACTAGATATTTGATCTGATGCAACTAATTCTTCGTCTGTATTATGAACTTGGTGTTGTTCAACAATGTGTTCAACCAAATGTTCATGTTCCCCCTCATGTTCAACCTCATGGTGTTCATGCACTTCCTGTTGGGTGGATTGTGGGTGCTCTGATATTGGTTGCTCTGAGAACGGCTCCTGTTGGTTGTCACTAATATCTTCTTCCTCTTCTCTATCTTGATTTTCCCCTTCATTATCTTTTCCTATTTCTTTATCTTCCCTGCCATTATTGCCACTATTATTGCTATTATTATTATTACTATTATTATTACTACTACCATTGTTATTACTATCTTTATGATCCTTTTCAGCCTCGCTATCTGTTATGTCACTTTCTCCCTCGTGATCTTCGTTTTCGCTTGTTGACATATTACTATTGTTTTGTTGAATATGAGTAATTAGATCGGATGAAGTATCTATGTGATCATCCTCTTCAATTACAACTGAGGCGGTTATATGGAGGTGATGTTCTTGATCTTGATGCTCACAACCATTTTCACAACTTTCATCGTGTGTATGTCTTAAATCTTCTAAACTTATTACAATATTTGTTGTTGGATTTTGGGATTGATAATCCATTGGTTCCATTTTTTTTTTTTTTTTTTTTCCAATATCTATATTAACATGTATCTAATTATTATATAGGCATTTTATTAAAATTATTAACAAATAATTAACAATTGTTATTGTTTGTTTTTTTTTTTTTTTTTTTTTTGGGTGGGTGATTTTTTTTTTTTTTTTTTTTTTTTTTTAGGGCAAATTAAAAATTAAAATTTTCAATTTTTTTTTTTTAAGATTAAATTAATTAGTTAATAATCTTATTTTTATTTTTCTATTTAATTAAATTTAAATACATACTGCACTATAAATATTGTTTTTTATTATTTTTTTATTATTTTTATTTATTTACGAAAAGGATTTTGGACACAAAGCTTTGTAAAAATTATGTAAAAAAAATTGAAAAAAAAATTAAAAAAATTAAAAAAATTAAAAAAAATTTCTTTTTTTTTTTTTTTATTTTATTTTCGAAATTAAACGAAAAAACGAATTGTGATTTATATTTATAAATATATAAATATTTAATATTTATTTTTATAATGATTTAACAAAAAAAATAAAATTAAAAATAAAATTTAAATTGAGATACACTTTTTTTTTTTTTTTATTATGAAATAAATAAATAAATAAAAATAACAAAAATATAAAAATAAAAATAAAAATAATAGAAGTTTTTTATATTCATTATTATTATTATTTTTAGAATAACAATTATTTCTATTTATAATATAAAATTTATATAAATGAAAAAAAAATACTATATAATTAATTAGTTTATTTAAAACTATATAAATCAAACACTAATAAATAAAAGTATAATAAATCATTATTTTTTAGAAAGAAAGTGATAAGGAATTTGAATATTTTAAAGCAAGATAACTGATTATGCAGTTGTATCTCCACCTTTTATATTTTATTTTTTTTTAATTTTTAATTTTTTTTTTTTCGTTTTTTTTATTTTTAATTTTCAATTTTTTATTTTTTTAAAAAGTCTTTTTTTTTTTTTTTTTTTCAGCAAAAACATATTGTTATTATCAAACCAAATCCACAACCTAATTATAATAATTTATTGTAATAGATATAAATATATATAAAAATTATTAATTAAAAAATGACAGAAAATAAACCAGATGAAGTTTTAAAAAAGATTGATAATATGTCAAGTGCCGATTACTACTTTGATTCATATTCACATTTCGGTATTCACGAAGTAAGTATTTATTTTTTTTTCTCAAATAGTTTTTTATATATAAATTTTATTATTATATACTAAAATAATAATTAATTTTTATAGGAAATGTTAAAAGATGAAGTTAGAACTATGGCATACAGAAGAGCTATTGTCAATAATAAAAATCTTTTTAAAGGTAAAGTTGTATTAGATGTTGGATGTGGTACAGGTATTTTATGTATGTTTGCAGCTCAAGCAGGTGCTAAAATGGTTATTGGTGTCGATAACTCTGAAATGTTACCAATGGCTCAAAAGATTATCACTGCTAATAATTTCGATAAAACCATCACATTAATCAAAGGAAAAATGGAAGAAGTTGTTTTACCAGTTGACAAAGTTGATATCATCATTTCTGAATGGATGGGTTACTTTATGCTCTATGAAGGTATGTTAGATACCGTTCTTTATGCCAGAGATAAATATTTAGCACCAGGTGGTGTTATTCTTCCAGATAAATGTAGTTTATATATCACTGCTATTGAAGATTTAGATTATAAAGAAGAAAAAATTAATTGTAAGTATCATTATACATATATTATTATAATAAAAATATAGTTTTAATATTAATTATAAACCCTTTTAAAATTAATACTTTATAGTTTGGAATAATGTTTATGGTTTCGATATGAGTTGTATTAGAGAAGTTGCTCTTAAAGAACCATTAGTAGATGTTGTCCAACCAAATATGATTGTTACCAATGATTGTTGTATTTTGGTAAGTAATAATAATAATAATAATAATAATAATAATAATATATTATAGGGAATAGAATGATTACTAATTGTGTTTTCTCTTTATTAGAATGTTGATATTATGACAATTACAAAAGATCAATTAAAATTCAAATCCGATTTTAAATTAAAAGCTTTAAGAGATGACTTAATTCATGCATTTGTAGTATATTTTGATATCGAGTTTTCAAAAGGTGATAAACCAGTTTACTTTTCAACCGGTCCAAAAGCTAAATACACTCATTGGAAACAATCAATTATGTATTTCGAAGATCACATTAAAATTCAACAAAATGAAATTATTACAGGTACTTTAGATTGTGCACCATTCGATAAAAATCATAGAGATCTCATGATCAAATTATCTTTTGATTTCAAAGGTCAACAAATGTCAAACTCTGCCCAATTAGAATATCATATGAGATAAATACTCATCAGCACCTGCCAATAATTAAATAATTATTTAAAAAAAAAAACCAAAATAAAAAAAATAAAAAAAATAAAAATTTAAAAAAAAAATAAAAAAAAAACCTTTTCTAATTTAGAAAAGATTATTGTTTATTAATTATTTATTATACATTTTTTTTACTCTTCTTCATCTTCAAAATCGACATTTGATTTAATATTGATTACAGAATGAATTGTTTTTGAAATTCTGGCTTGAATATTTGCATTTCTTAAAAGTGGTGATGATGAGTTTGAGGTAGTGGGGGTGGTGGAATTTGAAGATAGATTACCTTGGGTAATATGATTGTGATTATGATGACCCAAATTACTGTTAAGCCTATAGTTTTCTCTTTCATTTTCCAATAATACTCTTTTAACTAAATCTAATGCTGCTTTCTTTTTCTTTAATCTTTTGGTTTCATCTGGAATAATGTGTGCCAAGCATACTTTTGCTAAAATAATTATATGCTCTAAAATAAATACAATCCACAAAATATAATATGTATTAGGTGTAAAGTATGACAAGGTTGGGAATGTGAAACCAATTAATAGGCAATTGGTTAGGACAGAAATCATACCAATAATAACGATTATAAAAAACCAAATACCTAAACCGTTACCTCCGTTATAGTTTGGCTATAATAAAATATAAAGGCGATGTTAATACTACATTTACTATTATTACCATTTGTATTATAAAAATAGTTACTCTTCTTAGTGAATTAATTAATTTAAAAGTATCGACCCTATCTTCGAAAATATTATGAATAAAAGCAATTATAGGAGCAGCAGATGCAGAGGCAGCAAACATACTAATATAAGAAAATTGAATTATAATTTGATTGTATTCTTCAAATGTATCAAAATTTGACATATAGAATTGTTTTTCCCATGGTTTTAAACGTAAATCATTTTTTGGTAATGATTTTGATTGACCTATAATTTTAATATAGTATTCGATCCATCTATAAATATAGGATAAAAATAATTTTAGTATTTAAATATTATAAAAGGTGTTTTGTTTGATATACATACGGTAATAATAGTTCAGTGAATAGAGATGATAAAAAGTTTACTAAAATAATTGAAAACAGTTGAAATTGTAAATCTTTAGAACATCCTTGCCAAACACCATTAATTTGATTTACTTCATTACATTGATCTTTAAATTCGGCATCACCCCATAGATCTATATTATCTTTGATGAAAGCTATATAGAATAAACCTGAAAAACTATTAACAAATTGGAATAAAAAGAGTTTGGTAGAGTAGCTAGAGTTAAATTCTGAAGGCAATCTATGGTCCTCTTTAGTTGTTAGCCAATATGCTAGTTTCTTGTAAAAGAAATTGAAAATTAGAATAAAGAGCGCATTTATAACACTGCCAATACCAGACTCCACAGTGGTATTTTTAATTGACTTCATTACTATTCTAAGTGTAAAAATTGCTATTGTTAAAATTGGTATTATGCAAACCAATGTTACTACTACTGAAAAGCTGCAGATGGTTTTAAATAGTTTGAACATTCTCTCTGGTTTATTCATATAGGGTGTCATTTCTATATATTTTTTTACAGTTTCTAATTTTTGGCCTCCAAATCTCTTTTTCTTTAAAAACAATCCTCTGTGGTATGTGCCCTCATCTTCATGATCTGGTTTAAATGATGGCAATGGGTCTTCCTCTTCCAAGTAGTCATCATCTTGATTCCATTTCCAGTTATATTGGCTGCTGTATCTTTTCCAAATTTCAAAAAAGAACGTTGATAAAAGAGCCAAAACAATCGAAAAAGCTGATGCAGTAAATCTATAGGGATCTCTAGTTGATGATATGATTAAAACTATTAACCCAAAAAATGATACAATTCCCAAACCGACATTGTAAAATCCTATAAAAAAAATAAATTAATAAATAAATTTTATAAAAATATAATAATTTTTTTTTTTACCTACTTAAAAATAAAAAATAAAAAGATACCTCTTCACCAAAATAATCATTGATTAAATTAATATCCAGTGATTGGTAAAACCATTTCTTTTTACACTCTTGATCAAGATGCAAAAAACTTTTATTTGCATACGGAAATTTATCTATTACATAGTCTTTATTATAAATGTATCTTAACTCTTTAGATTTTCTTAGTATCTTTTCAATGATGAATAATCTTGATGATTCGTTTAGTTTTGTGTCCTCTTTAACAATTTTATTTTTGATTGTAATATTGTTTTCCATGCAAAAATCTCTCAATCTGTATTAAAAATAAAAATTAATAAATACCCTTTTATAAAAAAAAGAAAAAAATAATAATATTACCTTTCATCAGTTGAACCTATAATTAAAAATACTAAATTTTTATTTAATTTACCAATTTTCTTGACACCATGTAAACTTATATTATCCAATCTTTGTAAAGTTCTATCAATAACATCATCCCATGTTGTAATGTGGTGATGATTACCTACATTCTGTTTTTCTCGGTCAAATACTATAACCACTTGATAACTTATTTCTAATTCCAAATTTTCTTCGCCCAAAGTTTTTACAATTTGTGAAATTTCGTTGTTATTATTATTAATATCATTATTGTTATTATCATTATTATTATTACTATGAGTGTTTTTTGAAATTATGATGGTTTCATTAATTGTGATATTTTCACATAAATTTATTTCGATTCCATTATGATTATTTATTTCCATTTATCTATCTGATTTCATAACAAATCAAAAAAAAATTTCTTTTTTTTTACATAAAAAATATTTTCAAAAAAAAAAAAGATATTTTTGTAAAGAAAAAAAAATAAAAATAAACCAACAATTTTATTCATCACTGCTTATTAATAAAAATCTAAATTATATTATAAAAAAAAAAAAAAAATTTATTTTTTTGAATTTTTTTTTTTATAAAAAAATTCATCGAATACGATCATTTTAAGATACATAAATATTATACACATACACCATTTATTTTATGTGTTTTAAAAAAATGAGAAATTGGTTATAATATTTGGGTTTTTATTTTTTTTTAAATTGAATAATTGCTAATTTTTATTAAAAAAAAAAGTAAATTTGGTGAATAAAATTAAAAGATTTTTTAAAAATATGTAATTATGATTGATATATTATTATAATAAAATTTTTTGTATATAGATATATATCAACTTAAAAAAAACTTATTGATTTTAAGTTCTAACACCCTATTTTAAAATTTTAAAACAATTCACGCGACTTAATTGATAGGGCGACTTAAAAAAATTAAAAAAAAAATTAAAAAAAAATATTTTTTTTAAAAACCTGAAAAAGAAGGTAATAATTTTATATTTTTTTTGTTTTTTTTTTTTCAATATACCCCCTTTTTTAACTTATGTATCCTTTTGATTTATTTTTTATATAATTTAGAAGTTCTTGTATTTTTTAATAATTTTTTTTATAATTTTTTTTTTTTTTTTTATTAAGTTTTTCACTTTTTTTTTTTTTATAAATTTTTTTTTTTTTTATTACACTTATTATATACTTAATTTATATACATAAATATTATTATATATATAGTACTATTACATTATTTAAAATATATAATACTTAAACATTAAAAATATTTTGTTTTAAACTATTACCCAACCAAAAAAATGAGTAGGTATACTTAAAAACTATTATTATTATTATATTTTTAAATTTATAAATTTATAAATTTATAAATAAATATATAAATATAAATAAATAAAAAAAGATATTTTATATGCAATAAATATAATTTTATAAAAAAAAATATAGTATAACACTATATATAATATATTATAATATAGTTTTATAATATATTAATATACATTATGTAGTATATAAAAAAATATAATATAATATAATATAATATAATATAATAATATAATATAATATAATATAATATAATATAATATAATATAATATAATATAATATAATATAATATAATATAATAAAATATAATATAAAAATATTAATTTTTTTTTTTTTTTAAAAAAATTTTAAATTATTTGCTGTGGTTCAGGTTTTTCTGCAAGTCATTATAATAACAAATCACAAAAATTAATTAAAGCCGCTATTGTGGCTGAAACTACATCCTATTTAATGTGTGGTATTAAAAATAAAATTGCATCGGAAAAGAAACAGGGAGAAGTATTAAAAACTAGCCCTCTCTTAAATCAAACAACCAACCCAAATTGGAAATTCCAAGATGATGAAGGTCAAGAATTCGTAGTCTATATTGTAGATGAATGGGCAAGAATATTCCCAGCAATTGCACATACAAAGAAATTATTTACTTTCTGGGTCAGAGTTAGTAAAAAAGTTACCATAAAAGCTTTTAAATCAAAGCATGGTGAAATTATCGAGTTTAAAAAGGATGAAGACTCAAAAGATGAAGAATCAAATTATTATCAATTATCAGTTCCAATTTCTCGTACTCTTTTTTATGTTTTCCTTAGTTTAAAAGCTGAAGGTATAGTAAATGCTTCTTCTGACGATGCTTCCGCTTTAGATCTTCCAGTTGTGACAAGTTATTTTACAACTCCATGCTTTATCGTTCACTCAAATCTCGAATTTTCAGAAAAAAAGGGTGAAGATGGTGAAGATATGAGATTCTTCAAATTGCAAAACTTCTTTTTGGAATCTTCTTTTACCGAAAGTAAGCTTGAGCTCATTTATTACATGGCTCTAATTCCATTCCAAGCATCTAAAAAAAGAGTTGGAACTGTCGATCAATGTAAAGGTCACAATCTTTATGTCTCAATCCATGACAAGGCCAATAATCAATATTATCATTACGATTGGATCACTCATAGAGATATTTTTAGTAAAACTTCAAAATCAATTACCCTTTCTCTCGATTCAATTCCAAAAGGTAAAAATCTTCTAATTGGTATAAACTATTGCTCTGCCAAGTCACACCTCAAACAAAATTTTGAATATCAATTCGAATTAGATCTCAATACTGGTTTGTTATCATCAACAGCTGCAGATATTAGCATTTCATCATCTTCACACACACCAAAAATCACCAAATTAGAAGACATTCCACGTCCAACAACAAGAAAAAGAGAATCAACCAAAATATCAAAACAATCTTCCTCATTAGGAACTCCTCAATTACCAGCACCAACATTACCAATTACTTTTGACTATAATAATATTATTAATGTTGATCCATTATCATTTCAAAATTCTCACTTACCATACCAAACTAATTATTCTTCTGATAATGAGTCCTTATCAACTTTATCTCCATCATCTCCATTATCCCCTTTATCCCCACCATATCCATCATCTCCATCACCACCATCTCCATCACCATCCTCATGTTCATCAGATAATTTCCAATTCTCCAATGTTCTTTCTTTAATTAAAAGTGGTAAAATGTCTAAAGATGAATGTGATCAACTAAAACATGCTCTATTATTAGATCAACCACAAATTCAAAATCAAAATCAAAATATAGATACTAATACAAATATAGATACAAATACAAATTATTTTGGACTAGAGCAATATTATACACCATTGCCAACAGAGATGATTCATGGAGACCCAAATTTAATCACAAACCCCAGTTCTGTTACCTTCTGCTCAAATGATAGCTTTATTCCCTTTGATCTAAGCCAACAATTTTCTGTTGATATCGAATCTGATGATGCTTATCAACCATGTAAAAAGTTAAGAAATGATGATGGCTATATGTTTAATCTTAACGCAAGCACCAACATCCTCCTTCCTAACTGGCCACAAAATTAATTGTTGTTATTAAAAAATAAAAAAAATAAAAAAAAAATAAAAAAAATAAAAAAGTTTTTATAAAAATATTTCAAAAAAAATAAAAAAATTATCTTTAATTTTTTAATTTTATTGTTTTTAAAATGTTATCTAAAATTATAAAGAGTCCTATTGTAATTAGATTTTTTTCAAGACCTTCATGTTCATTATGCCAAGATGCTAAGGAAATAGTATATCCTGCTGTAGAAAATGTATGTAAATCTCATCATCATCAACCAAACATCAATAAGTAAAATTAATTAATTTTACAATTTAGTTTCCAGAAGGTGCATTTAAAATAAATGAAATTGATATAGATTTAGATTCAAATAAAGAATACTATGACCGTTTTAAAAATGATGTACCAGTTGGAATGATAGAGAAAAAAGTAATTTTCAAACATAGAATAGATGAAGATAAACTATATTTTGATTTAGAAACAATGTTAAGGGATCAAATTAAAAAAGAAAAAGAATAAAATATATAATAATAATAATAATAATAATAATAATAATAAACATTTATTAAAAGAGTTGCACACTCTATTTTGTACAAAATATTAAACTATGTTGGTTTTATAAAGTTATTTATAAAGCTATTTCCCTATTATTGTGGTTTTTTATTGTGTTAAATTTTATTTTATTTACTTAATTATTTATTTAATAATATTATCTACAGATTTTATGAAAAACTTTTTTGGCTTGATCTTTTATTATTTCCTCTACTTCTAATTCCATATTTAGCATATTTAATTTATTTTGAAGCTTTATTTTTTCACTATTATTGCTAAAGTTATTTGATTCTATATCCTTTTTTGTTAAATTTATACAGTTTTTAATGATTTCACATCTAAATAAAGTTTTATTGTGTAATTTTTCCCATACAGCCTCACATTCTGTCTCTGGGGATTTAATTTTATTTATTTCATATACAAAGTTATCTATAGAAAATAAAATAATAGTTTGTTAAATTATAAATAAAGCAAATAATTATTATAATAATTATTATTATAATAAATACCATTATCTTTTCTTGAGAAAACTAAATAATCTTTTAAATCTTGATAATTACATCCTCTGGGCGGTTTATATGTTATAGTATTGGTATCTGCATTATGAATTGGCTCCATCTTTTGTTATTTATTTTTTAACTGTTTAATCGAAAAAATAAAATAATTTTTTTTTTTTACTTTATGCAATCAAAAAAAATTAAAAAAAAATAAAAAATAAAAAAAAAAAATTAAAAAAAAGATCTCCCACTTTTTTATTTATTAATAATTAAATTCATGTAATATCAAATATGTAATTATTATCCATTCAATCAATCCAAACACATTGTTTTTTTTTTTATTTTTATTTTTTTTATTTTAATAAAGTTTTTTAATTTAGTAATAAATTTGGTATTTTGGTTAAATTTAACAAAAAAAAAAATAAAATACTTAATGTATTATTATTATGGTTAATCAAATTTTATTGATTTAAATAAATAAAATATTTGTTTGTATTGATAGTTGTTTTTCAATAATTTATTGCTATACTAATAAAAGCAATGAAAAAAATTTTATTTTTTTTTTCGTGTTTTTTGTGAATTATTTTTCATTTTATTTAAAATTTTTTTTTTTATTTTTTTTTATTTTGATTCATTTTGATTCATTTTTTTTATTATATTAAAAAGATGTTAAAAAATTTAATTTTTAGTAAAAATAAAAATAAACTTTTTCAAACTTCCACATCACAGTTTGTAAGAAATTATTTAAATGTTAAAAATGTAACAAGTGAGTTAAATAAATATAGAAATATTGGTATTATTGCACATGTCGATGCTGGTAAAGTAGGTAATAAACTAATATCAAATAAAATATAGAAATGATTTAAATATTAACAATTATTATAAAAAATAAAAGACAACAACATGTGAAAGAATGTTATATTATTCAGGTTTAATTAAAAGAATTGGTGAGGTACATAAAGGAGATACAGTTATGGATTATTTAAAGTTGGAAAGAGAAAGAGGTATAACAATAGGTGCAGCAACAGTAACAATACCATGGAGCGATCATAGAATTAATATTGTAGATACACCTGGGCATGTTGATTTCACTGTAGAGGTCGAAAGATCAGTTAGGGTTATTGATGGAAGTGTAGCAATTTTCGATGGTGTAGCTGGTGTACAAGCACAATCAATCACTGTATGGAACCAATCAGAGAGATATTCAGTACCAAGAATTGCATTTATTAATAAAATGGATAGAGAGGGTGCATCAATTGATAAAACTTTAAAGATGATGAAGGATAGACTTGGTGCAAATCCAATACCAATTCAATATCCAACTGGAACAGGTTCACAGTTTTCTTATGTTATAGATCTCATTGATATGGTGGTACTAAATTGGGCTGGTGAAAAAGGTGAAGTTGTCGAAAAATTACCACTTAAAGATTTCCCACAAGAAATTCAAGAGAAAGCTAAAGAAAAAAGAACAGAGCTTGTACAAAGTCTTTCTGACCATGATGAAGAAATAATCCAACTTATATTAGAAAATGATGGTGACACAGACAAGGTTTCAACAAAGCAGATTAAAGATGCCATTCGTAGGGTAACCATTTCAATGAAAGCTGTACCAGTTTTATATGGGTCTTCATTACAAAACAAAGGTGTTCAACAGGTTTTAAATTCTGTTATTGATTATTTACCATCACCAACTGACAGAGAGCCTCCATTAGCTCGTTTACCACCATCAGCTCCGGGCCAACAAGAAAAAACCAATATCCCAATTAAAAGTGATCAAAAGGGCGAATTAGTAGCTTTGGCATTTAAAGTAGTACATGATCCAAGACGTGGACTTATCGTTTATACACGTGTATACTCTGGTGTTTTAAAGACTTCATCAACTATTTACAACTCAACTAGAAAGTCAAAAGAGAGAGTCTCTAAACTTTTACAGGTATCGGCTAATGAAATGGAGGATATACAAGAATTAAAAGCAGGTGATATTGGTGCAATTTTAGGTTTAAAAAATGTTTCAACAGGTGATACCTTGGTTAGAGATTTTGAAAAAGCACCAAAGGTTATTCTTAATGGTATTCAAACCCCACCACCAGTATTTTATTGTACATTAGAAGCAAACTCTGAAGGCGAAATTCCTAAATTACTAGAAGCCCTTACTGTGCTCCAAAAAGAGGATCCTTCATTCCATTATCAAGTTACTGATGACCAAGTTATTTTAATTAAAGGTATGGGAGAGCTTCATTTAGAAATCATTAAGGATCGTTTGGATAATCATTTCAATGTCGAAAGTAGAATGGGTAAAATGCAGGTTTCATATCGTGGTTCAATATCTTACTCCAATCAAAAAGATTTCAACGAAACTATTAATATTCAAAGTGGTACAGGTATTAAATCATTTTCAGCAGGTATTAGTATGTCTATTGAGCCATTAGAATTGGGCAGCGGTAATCAAATTGTTTTCAATTTACCAGATTCATTAGTTGACTCTATGGAGAAATCAACTGTTGAAAAAATTAAAGAGGCTATTGTAGAGGGATTAGAGTCATCTTTCCAACGTGGTTTACCATTGGGTTTCCCTGTAGTAGATGTTAAAGTTTCAATCGACAATATTTTATACCTTTCAGATTCAGATTCTCCACCAAATGCTTTTAGAACAGTTGCAATTAAATCATTCTTAAATCTTGGTGAATCTAGCGAACCTGTTATTTTGGAACCATTAATGAAAATAGAAATTACAGTTGACGAAAAATATCTTGGTAATGTTTTATCGGATCTTTCAAGACAAAGAAGAGCCACAATCCAAGAAGTCGGTATGGAGAAAAATGTACATATTATTAATGCTATTGTTCCATTAAAAGAAATGATTGGTTATTCGACTCAGTTAAGAAGTTTTACATCTGGTAATGCTTCATTCACCATGGAATTTTTAAATTATGGAAAGGTTTTAAATACAACTGAAAAAGAAAAAATATTAAAAGAAATAAGAGGTTATTAATTAATTTATAAAAAATTAAACTTGTAAATAAAAAGAAATAAAAAAAAACACTTTTTTTATTTTAAAATAATTATATATAGTTTATTAGATTTCCATTAGATCTTCAGTATTTTCGGGTAAATAATCATCAATATGATATTGCCTATTGAGCTCTTCTTTTTCTTTTTCTATTTGTTTTATTTTCTCTTCTTCTTGCATTTGAATTGTTTTGGAAAGTTCTAAATTAATTGGTTTTGGAGTTGGGTGTTCTGAGATTAAATCTAATATTTCTTTCTTTGGGTCTAAAAGATACAAAAGTTTCTTTAATGGTTCAATGATTACTTCAACTGGGTCATCCCATCTAGTTTCATTAAGTATTTCTTTTGCAGCTATTGTTATTTCGGGATCAATAATTTTATTTGATTTAATTAATTGAATTGATGCTAGTTTTCTTACTTTTGGGAACTTTAAATTTGAAATTAATAATAACAAAGATTTTAATGATGTAAATTCTATATATTCGATTTTAAATTTTTCTAACTCTAAAAAGAAATATGAAAATAAATCGACAGAGTTTAATAATAAATAAATATCATCGTGACTTGCTTTAATTCTTTCATAACAAATAAATAGAATTCTTTCTAAAATTGATTTGCTATAAAAATAAAAAATAGTTAATATTTACATGTAAAGTATGCATATATATGTAAATTAATAAATATTTACTCTTTTGTTGTAATTATAAAGTCAAAGTGATGGGTTAATAGTAAATTGGTAATTGATTTAAATGTTGGCTGAACCATTCTTTCAGGTACATTTTGTGATATTTCTAATACAGTTTGTAAAAATTTAATAATCTTGTTTTCTTTTTCTTCATTTTTATAATTATTAAAATAATTATTAATTGAATTAATTGAATCGTCAATCTATATATAATAAATAGTTTATTTGTTAATATAATTTTATTAAAATTATAATTTTTCTTTATACTTGAAACTTACTAAATATTTTGAATTACCACCCAATGATGAAAATAAACCAAATAATAATGGATAGAGGTAAATGTCAAATTGTAAAATTAAGCAAATTAATGGTAAAGATTCTTCAGTTCTAAACCAGTTAAAATGATCATCTGGAACTTTTACAAATATCTTTAATAACTCTTCTCTGTGTGGTATAATTGTTTTTATAGTTGGCTCCATCCAAAGGATTTGATGAATAATTTTACAAACTACATCTCTTATTTTATCTAATTTTTCACCTGATAATTGGATTAGTTTTGAAATAAATTCAGTTATCATTTTTTCTGTTATAAGTTTTTCGACTAAATTAAAAAATAAACAAATTAATATTATATCTATCAAAGTTAATGATTTACAAATTGTAAAATACTTACTCGAGTAGTTTTGATTAATTAGTTTTACAAAATTGAATAAAATTTTACAAGATAATTCTCTAACCCATGACCCTATATCACCTCTTTTATCAATTGAGTAATCGTTTGTAGCTTTACCAAAACAGTTCCAAATTTTAATAAATTTATCTTTGATCTCTGATGATTCCTGTTGTTCTTGCTGTTGTTTAAATAATTCTGATAGTAAATAATTGCCAATATGTTCTAATGAGATTAGGGCATTGACTCTGGTTTCTATATCTCTAAATAATGGATCTTCTTCAAATACAGAATAAATTAAAGAATCAATAATTCTATCGAGATATTCATTTGTAAATGAAGCTTCTTTGAATGGTAAAGCGCCTAATACTAAAGCAGAACCTCTTCTAGCGGATCTATTTGGATCTATTTTAATAGTTTTGCAATGAGAGTCTATAAATTGAAGTAATGATTTCTTTTTATCTTGAGTACTACACATATAGATTTTGAAAAGTTGTGAGAAAGCTTTGGTTGCTTCTTTTTGAACATCTTCATTAGGGTGATTAAGATTTTCACTAAGATAATGGATGATTATATTGAATGCAATATTTGATGAGGAGGATGATGATATTGCTGATGATGCAACTTGTTTTGCTATTTGTTTACTTGGTTGTACAGTTTTATTAATTTGTGCTGTTTTGGCTTTTAATGCCGCGATTTTAGCTTTTAATGCTGCTTGTCTATCATTTGGACTATTGCTGTTTGCTTGCTGATTTGATTCCTCATCATCTTTAATTGATAAATCTTTTTCTAATTGGAATTCAACCAAGCAAATGGAATAAATCAATCTACACATACCAATTCTAATCAAAACACCACCTTTACCTTTGAATAGTTTTTCATTTTTTGTATTTTTAATTGTATTTAATATATTCTATAAAATTATAAAAGTTATTAGTATTATATAATTATGATTTTGAAAATTAAATTTTATGATAGAGATAAAAACTTACACTTTTTAATTTATCTGTTAAAATATTTGTTTTGTTATTATCTTTTAAGCTTTGTAATATTTTAGAGATAGTAATAGATGCACCATGTTTGACATGTATTAACTCTGATTGGGTTGATGGTATGATTATTGGTAAATAGTTATTAACTATATCTGTTGGATTAATATTTGTTAAAATATAAATTGCTTTACTTGCTAGCTCTCTAATTTCTAAATCCCAATTATAGATCTTAATTTTTGATAAATGGTCAATCATTGTGCCATAGTACTCTGGATATTTGCCTATATAAGCTGTTAAATTGGTGTATGAATTTTTTTTATTGCCCACAGCAAAGAAATCAGCAGTTGTTACTATATCGATACCATGTGGAACCAAACCTTGATGTCTACCAACCATTTCTTGATATGCAGCGGATGCGGATTTTCTACAATTGATTTCACGATCGTAAATTGAAGTAACAACCAAGTTTTGACAAATTGTTAAAAGGAATGGTGAAAGAATTGAATTGTGATATGTTCTAGCTAAAGCCCAGCATAAATAGCAAGCAGAATCTCTTACATGCGAACCAACACTATAGGTACCTTTAATAATATCGAAAAACAGTGCTCTAATAACCAAAGGTACTACTGCATCTAATCTTTCGGGTAGTAATAAACCCCTACGTGCTAATTCGGCCAAAGCAAGGCAACCACCATGCCATGATGAAGGATCTGCATCTAATCTTTCGTCCTTTTCAAACATATCTATTACCAAACCTATAATTTGATCGCCCATATCTTTTGGTAATAAATTTACAATTCTGCCAATTGCTTTAGCTCCAGTCCATCTGATAATAGTATCTTTATCTCTAAGTGAGTTTAAAATTTCTTCGATGATTTCATCAATTTCTTCAGGGATCTCTTGGTCATCATCTTCGATATTATCTTGTTCGTCTTGTTTCGATGAGATTTGTTTAACTGCTAAATTCGATTTTAATAGTAACGGCTTAATGATCTTTTGATATCTCCATGATGCAGAAACTGGTGGCAACATTATAATAGCAATTCTTTGGATAAGCTTTAAAAAGATTTTTTTAGCTATACGTTCAGAACCAGATGACGATAGCTCTTGGTTTGCTTTCATTACAATCTTGTATAGGTCCATATTGAATGGGAGAAAATCCTTTCTATTACCCTTTTTAAAAATTGAGGCCAGTGTACCATAAATACCAACTGTTAATGAAATTTCGTTATTATCAAATGTTTCATTTTTTAAAACTTGATTTATTGATTCTATACTTGATTGAATAAACTGTTTTTGTTCATTGATCATATCTGGTCTGGTTAATAGCTTTGATAGTAATTCTGTAAATGAATCCCTAATCTTTGAGTTCTCTTGTAGTGCCAATGTACCCAATTTTAAAATTCTTGAAGAAATACCTTTTAATGTACCAGACATTGAATCGATTGAGCTAAACTTGAAAGGAATAATAACCAATAGCGAAACCCATAATGATAATACATAAACTTCTTCCCAAGACATAATATTTTCATTATATTCATCTTCTTCTAAATTATTATTATTATAATTTAATTCGTTTGTTGAACCAATATTACTGTTTTCATTATTTTCATTATCATTTTCATTATTATTTTCATTATTATTATGACTTTTACTGTTATTGATGCCCATTTCTAAATCGTTTTCATTTGGTTTAATAATATAGCCACTTGAATAATTTACAGATATTTCATTTAAACGAGATCTCTTTTTATTTACTTCGATCCATTCTTTAAACGATATTTCTAACTGATTTAAAACTGGCATTAAGTCCATTGCTTCATGTTGAAATAATTTAACTATTGTTTTATAACCTCTAACTTTTGATAATACGTATATTATTTTAAATGAAAATTTGATTGATAATTTTAATTTGTTATTGTTGTCATAATTATTATTATTATTATTGTCTTTTTGCAATTGATCATCATTATTATTATTATTATTAATGTAATTTATTTTTATAAAATTTATTAGTGGTTGAATAAAATCATTTAAATGAACATCTAATAAATTTGATTGCTCTAAATACTGATCTATTATATTTGTAATTCTTGAACAGTTATTAATGATTTCATTTTTATTATTATATTCTAAATTTATTAGTTTTGAAATTAATAATTTTAATTCTGGTGCTTCTTTAACAAATGTTTTTTGACAAGTTTGTTCTTCTTCAACTGGTATGTTATTTGTTGGTGTTATATTTTCTATAGGTGATTCTAAAGTGGTATTTATTTCTTCTGAATCATCAAGTTTATAATCTAATGAACTCATTTCAAATTAAAATTAAAAATAAAAAAATTAAAAAATAAAAAAAATTTTAAAAATTATTACAAAATTCAAAAAAAAAAAAAAAAATATTTTTATTTATTTTTTAAAATATTTAAAATAATTATTTGTAAAAACAAATAATAAAGAAATTCCTTATGTTTCATTTTTCAAATATATTACAAATGAAAATTTAATTGTTTTTTAAAATTATTTATAGGAAAAAATAAAATAAAAAATAAAATAAATAAAAAATAATAAAAAAAATATAAACAAAACAATATGTTATTTTTTCGATCAACCACATTCTACTCTGAATTATATTTTTTTTGTTGAATTATTTATAAAAATACAAAAATAATTGTATTTTGGTAATGTCTAAAAATAATTCAATATTATTATAATTATCTTAACATTATCATAATATAATATGGATTTTTTATTATAATTTGGATAGAGATTTTCAAAATAATAATTATTCAAGGTTTTTTTAAGTGAAAATCCAAACAGTTACATATGTTTGGTATAATTTTTTTAATTAAATTATAAAAAATAGTGTGTTCATTAATTTTCAGGATCTAGTACAATGTATTTGTGTGTTAAGTGTTTAGTGTTTGTTTTATTATTATTTGAGTGTGGTTGAAATGAGTGTGTTTGTGTGTTAAATATTTCTATTTTTTTTGTAGTGTGTGTTTGTGTGTTGAAAAGTGATATATGTTTTAATTCAATTTTTTGTTTTTATATACCGTATAGATAAACCATATGCACATTGGGAAATTAAATATATATTTTTAGTATGGAATTTTTTTTAAAAAATAAATTTCATTACTTGAGTGCTGTTGTTTTTTTTCAACCCTTGAACGAAAATAATCACCCCCTATAAATGTTTTTAGTTTTGAGGTATTTTTGAACACTATTCCATAAAAAATATATATATTGAGATAAATATATATATAAAAGGAAATTGCGTCCCCTTTTTTTTTACTTTGGTTATTTTTTGTTTTTATTTTATTTATTTTACATGTAAAACACTCTAATAAAGAGAGTGGATATAATTATTTTTTTTTTAAAATCAACAAAAATAATTTATTTACAAATTAAACCACACAACACAAATATACTCAATATTAACTTCTACTACCATTACACCAACATTTTACTCAAAATTCACAACAATTTATAAATCTTTGTTTTTTTCTCCAATTCCACATCCTAAAACAGATATATTTATATTTATTTATTTATTTTACCGTAAATGAATAAATAATTATATAAACAAGATGTATATACAATATTTTTAAATTCAACAAATATTTCGTTATAAAATATTATTTTTTTTATTTTTTTTTTTATTTATATT